TGCGCTGCTTTCAATTACTGGCAGACGGAGATCGTGTATTCAGGTTGGTAGCCACGCAGGTTGGCTGCTGAGGGGGACCGTGTCTCACTGCCTTGTCTGAAGACTTGTGGCGGGGGTGGGGCGTGGGGGAATCCAGCCAGGCCCGTTGAAGCTGTGACTCTAGGCAGACTCAGAGCATGAGGGTCTTGAAGAGCTTTTGTGGAGGAGGTAGTTCCTAGGGGAAAGCCGAAGTTGGCCCTCGCCCCGCACAGCGCAGTTGGCACAGGAGAGGCGGTGTCTGGCGCCCCATGTCGACCTCGTCGGCGTCCCCTGGTCAAGCCCCTGGCCCTCACTCTCAGACCTGGCGGTGCTTGTGGGTCCAACACTTACCGTCAGGTTGAATTTCAGGTCTGCCACTTCCTTCTTGGGTACAGTTTACCTTCCCGAAGGAAAGGAAGCACAGCAGACAGGGTTCACTTTCCTCTGTTGCGAGTGATGTGTACTTGGGGTCGCCGGTGGTTCCGGGAACGAGGTGGCTTGGGCCAGCTTCTCTGACCCTGTTGAGGCTCACGCACGGGGCAGGAGAAGACGAGCCACCGAGTCTGCAGAGGCCTGGACGAGGCCCCGCCCTGGCCCCCTCCCCTTCCGCCTCCCTGAGTCTTGAGTCTTCTTGTTCTTAATGCTGATGGGAGACTCCCCGAGCTGGGGGTGGGGGGCACAAGCCCCACACTGAGAGGGAAAAGGATCCTTTGCTGAGCACAGGAAAGAATTCAGATGCGTCCAGTCAGAAGAGAAGTTTATTAGAGAAGGGAAAAGCAAAGACGAGGGAAAAAGCCCAGTTCCCGTGTCACTCGGTTTTTGTGAGTTACAGCTCGAAAGCTTTGCCGCTTTCCTTTGACGCGGGCACGCGGCGAGGAGGGCGGAGAGGCGGGCGTGTGCGGCGCGCAGGGCCTGCTGGCAGCTCGCAGCCTTTCATCCGGCGTTCTCCGTGGTTTTAACCATGGGGAGTGGAGATTTTATTTTGCGTAGGGCGCCCCTCGAAGACTTTTTTGTCTTTTCCTCACAGTGTGGGGAATGGGTTGTCACAGTCCCAGCAGAAGTCTTTGCCCTGAAGGCGTCCTCGTGGCCGGCTGCAGGGCCGATCGGCACGCTGCAGCCTCTGCGTGTAGCTCAATTGAGCGCCCGGTTCCCTTGCCCGCTCCCGACGTCATCATCAGCACCTCGGCGTCGCCGTCTCTTCTTTCCTCGCCGGGCTGGGCCACCGTCTCCCCTTGTCTGGGCAGCAGAGCACCAAACAAGGGCGTCGTTCCTGACTGTCCAGTCCAGTCCCTGCCCTAGCCAAAGTGACTTTTGAAAACACGCGCTTTCTCACACCTCAGTCCGGTGCTCGCCCTTTGTGGCCTCGGTCCAGAATCCTGGTGACCTCCCGTGGCCCGGCACAGGCGGGCCCACGTCCGCCCTTCTCGTCTGATTCGTGGCGACTCCCTTTGCTCTCAGTCTTTTCCTCAGTGGTGTCTCCCTCGTAGGTTAATTCTACTTTTTCGACAGGGCGCAGCTTGAAATCTTCCCCCAGCAATGCGGGCCTGGCTGCCCCTGCCATGGTGGGTTTAGTGCTCACTTCCCCTGAGGGCAGGGTCCTGTCCGCATTGTTTGTGTGACACTCTTGATCAGCCTCAAGGAAAGCAATGCAGACGGACGTTTTCGAGGTCTCTCGTCCTTGGATCAGCTCTTCGGCTTTGAGGCTTAGCCGATGCAGAGCGAGGGTGTAGCAGGAAAACGACTTAATAACTTGTCCAACCCATTTACTCAGCAGATGTTTGTCGAGCACCTGTTTTGTGCCAAGATCTGTCCTAGGGGCTTGGAGCATGTCAGTGAACAAGAGACAAAGTCCCTGCTTTCGTGGAGCTCACGTTGAGTGGGAGGACGGACAGCGGCCACCACACGTGACAGACACAGATCGGGGCTGGCGCAATAGGCCAGAGGCGATGGTGCTTTGCAAGAAGAGGGGTGGAGCTCACCGGGTGAGGGGTCGGCGCTGTGGGCAGGTGCAGACCGCCCTGTTCCGCGGGAGGTGAAGGCCCCACGGCAGGAGTGAGCCTGGGGTGACAGAGCAATGAGCAGCCAGGATGGCCATAATGGCAGGAAGGGGAAGGGGGTTCGGGGTCACGGAGCCAGGTCATGGGAAGGACTTTGGCTTTCACTATGAGGTAGGAACCATTGCAGAGTACTGAACGGAAGGTGACGTTTCCTGGCGACGTTTTACAATTTAAAAGGATCTCTGGTTAACGTGTTGACTATAAATGCAGGGGACGAGGACAGGGCTCGGAGACCAGTTATGAGGTGAGTGATGAGCGTGGCTCGGACCAAGTTGGGAGCATTGGGGATGAGGACGAGTGGAAGGACTTGGCGTGTGGTAGTGGGTCAACAAGACTTCCCGTGTAGGGGTCCGAAGTGCCAGAGCGAGTGGGGGTGCCATGTCAGGAAGCCACAACCTGTTCTTTGTGAATCTGCCACAGAGCGGCAGCTCACATTTGAGGCTCGTCCACAGCCTTCATGCCTGGATCGATGGGTCCTGCTGGTCCACGTAATTGTTGGTCACGTTCTTCTTATATCTCGTGTCTGTTACAGGGATCTGTAGAGTGCTCCGTACCTATCAGATGGGTGGCTGGCTGGAAG